CAGAATAATAAACCCACCTACTATCCCCTGTATGAGATGAACAGTGAAAGCACAGTTTTGCTAGTACAACTGCATCTATGTTGGGGGATTTTACCAGCATCCACTATGCTATAAATACAGATGTCTGTATATGGGACCTGACCATAGACATGTATCTTTACCAGCTTTAATTGATTTTAGCTAGGAGCTAACTGGCTCCAGAAGAACTACTTATAGCTTAACATTTCTGTGGAAAATGTACCATTTAGTAATTAACGGGTTTGGAAAGCAGCCAGAATCTTTCAATCTCATCCCGTTTAAGAAAAAAGAATCAATTGACTCTTTTTTGAATGGTAAATATCATGAAATATTTTACAACAAATCATGGTTTAAAATAGCCCAGTTGCACTAGCTGTCATGTAGGATAAATCACTTGCATCAGGGCATGATCTTTGTGATTTGTGGTCTATGCAAATAAGTGCAGGGTTTTGCTCCATATTTTGTATTCAGGCAAAGTTCCCTGTGGACTTCAATGGGAATTTTGCCTAAGCAATAACAGCAAAATTGGTCCCATGTGAAAAAAATTGATCACTGGGGAAAATTAAGAGGTTTTTCTTAAAGGCACAGATGGCAGTTAAGCATTTAACTTTAATTGGCTTTTTACATGAGTAGGGACCCCTCTACTGTTTTACCTTTAGAAGAATCCTCCTCAGAACTCTGAAGAGAGAAATGTGCATGATGGTTGTGGGAGGGATAGAGCCAGTGTGCTGCAGGGAAGTGAAAGAGTTCTACAGAGGGATGTGAAATAGCTGAAACAAATGCTGAGATGAAGTAATGAGAGCTTCCTTTACTCTCATTGTGTGGGTAGTTTTACTTGTTATGGCAGCAGTGTGTGTGTGAGGAGGGAGAGAGAGGCAAAAGGAGTCAAATGTGGATGGGAAAGGGAGCAACTGCAGAACTTTCAGGGTTTTAAGAATACTCGAGGGGAAAAGGCACAAACGTTAAAGCTTATCTAGGGCATGGAATGAAATTATTTGGGAAAAGCAGCCTTGAAGGCTCAACTTATTTCAGCATGTCATGTTGAAAATTAATTGCAAATAGATCCTCAAGTTTTCACTTTGCTTAGCATGATGGTAGGTGGGTACTAAGAGCATGAAAAAACAAAATCTGAGACAGTTTCTTAAGGTCAAGGTTATGGTGAGCACTGTGCTTGGGTTTGGATGTAGTTTGTTTTCTATGCGCTTTCCTCAAATTAACTCACTTCTATTTAAAAATATTTATTAACTCAGGTTTAAAACCAAATAAAAATCTAAGGAGATTTTGTTTTCATTTGGTGCTAAAGGCACATCACAGTGATTACTAAACAGACTTAGAATGAAGCATAGGTAAGGCTGTCATTGAAAATTTCACTTGCCTCACACATGAGACGATGATAGTCTCTGTGAGGAAACTATTGTTTTATTGTGAAATTAAGACGCTTAAATGGGTCCTAGTGGTTGGGACTGATTAGAACCAAATGGTAGGTGCTGGAATCAAGAAAAGCTGAATGCAACTTCTGGAAAGGTCAAGAATAATAGCAAGGTCTAGGCTAAGAGATGTGGCCAGGGATCAGGCAATAAATCCATACTACAATGGGCATGAAGTGGTAAGAGCAATTGCAGACTGGCAGCAATAAAAATTAAGAGTCAGGACTAAGCACGTAGGAACCAGGAAAGAACAACTGAAGCTAAGGAGGTAGAGTAAAGGAGAAATAAGCAAACCAAGTTAGCTTAGCCAAGCAACTTGTTAATCGAGCCAAAGTCAGCATCTTGATGGCCTTGTATTTTTAAGTGTGGGTAAACTGCCCAGCCTTAGCTTCCACTGTGATGATTCTGGCTTGGTGAGACTTTGGTCTTGGCAAAACCTGACTGATAGGAACCCTGTCTCATTTGGCTGCTGCATGGACAGGTCTTGTTCCATAGTCTCTCTATTCCAATTCGCTGGGATGCAGAGCTTGGGTGCAGGAATGTAAGTTCATATCATTCTCCCCTTGGTTAGGTGTCAGAAATTGCCAGGTTTAAGTCCTCAATTTCTGGTTTTTATTTCAGATTTTTTTAGCCCCTGTGGAATCTCCGTTCTTAGAGCTCTTCATCTATGGCCTGCTGGTCAGATATAAAAATCTGTCATGGAACTGCCTTCTCTGCAGAAGCTTTAGGTGATGTGGGGAGTGGTGCATTCAAAGAGAAGAAACCTGTCCTTTTTGAGCCTCATAAACATAAATAATTATGTAACAGTCCCTGCATCAAGTCAGGTGTTACCAGGTTCAGGCCTGGAAATGTGGGGCTTCCTTTTCTCGGGGAGCCTTCCTTCTCCATTCACAAACCAAGCAGAGAGTGAGTCACTGGCACTGAACTCCAATCCATTTGTCCTCAAGCTTCCCTTCAGGGACAGGCAGACTGTTGTTCTCAGTCAGTAAGTGGTCTGTTAGCATCTTTAATGAATATTTCCTCCTCTTGAAAGCCCTTTGTCTCTCCACTGCCTGCAGTCTTGAGGCCTTGCAAATCCTGAGCATGTCAATTGAACCTGAAAGGGCTCCTCATCCCCTGGACAAAGAAGCCTCCTGCAGCAGTCTGCTCTCTCCCTGTTGCATACAGTGTGCTCCAGCCTACTCACAGCCAGGCAGAGGCTGGGGTATCCCACAATTCTTCTAAGACTGAGTAGTTGCCAGTGTGCAGTTCCACATTGTTCATCTTCTCTTTTCCTGGTGTGCAAATGCCAGCCAAGGGTCAAGTGACATCTCTCTGTCTGTATATATATTTGTTATATATGCGAGCATGTACATACACACAAATAAAGTAGGTTAATCTATACGCTATGTAATGAAGCTTTGCACAAGTTTTTCAGAAATTCAAAGCGAGTGCATCTACATCCACTGGAGTTATGTGTGGTTGTAAGCTCCAGGAGGGATGTGGAGCAGAGGAGATGGGGAGAGGGGATTGACAGCTACTGTGAGGAATGAATGGTTCTCTACTGGCAGCTCTTTGGAGGCCAGGAAGCCAGGTGTAGTCCTCTGCAACATGAGAACACAGGTAATAATTTGTGGAGGTGCATAGATTTGTATAGATTAGGATTCTTTCATAACCTAGGAGTGAAAGCCAGTCATAGCTTCATTAGGGTTGTCATTAAACATGTTTAAAGGTGATCATAGCACTGTACTGTAAGAAACTTGGGAATAAAAATGAACAACATAAAACACGCTACCTGAATTTTGGTCCAGCCCTTCTGTTGTTCACACACAAGTGCCATGATCAATTCTGTAGGTGCTTTTTCCTGGCTTGATGTTATCTGACCATGGAAGCAAATGAGAGACTTTTGTGTGTGATAACCAGGAATGGAACTGCCAGCCTTGCAGAGGTCATAATATAATCCCAGTGCTCTTTCCATAGTGCTATTGGAAGAAAAAATGGACATTTCCTCCCACAGCTGATGGAGATATGGTCCGCAGTAACCCTGGTGCAAGAACAATAAATGTGGACACTCCCTAAAGGTGTAATAACATATGTAGTCTGGAAGATTATTGTATCTGAGTAAGTTCAATTACTGGGATAAACCATGTGGTGAAGACATAGCCACGTGTTTCACACTCTCAGATTAAAATTACTAGTTCTTCAAGTTGCTTATGAAGTTGCAATGACTTTACAGTAATATTTTTGTTAAAGTAATTTGGAAAGAAATTTGACTGTGCAGTTTCTCTGTTTTCAGTGCATGATTTGGGGCAGAGTTAGGGTCCTGGAGAAGTACTGGAAAAAAGAGAATATCATGTGACAGGAATCTCCAGTTGATGAAAATCAAAGAATTCCCCAATTACCACATGGCCACAACTGCTTTTAAGGTATCCTTCAAGGAAGGAAAAAATCAGAAGCAGAGCTGCAGGCTTGCCTCTGGGCTAGGAAAAGAACTCTCTTCCCAGGACTGCCCCCTGTTCTACATTCTAGGTACTTCCCTTCCAGGTCTTTTTTCCTGGCACAAAGGAAAACCCTCCATATCTTCAAGCCCTATTCTTCTGACTTTGTAACCCTTCTTAAGGGTAACCCTTTTGAAATGGTCTCTTGGAGATGTAATCTGGAAGTTTCACTGTCCTGTTTCACAGAGTGGCAAGAGATATGCTGGGACATGCAACTATTACAGTGAGCAGGGAATGAATTACTAATGAATATGAGAGACAGTTTTAGAATCAGGCTTTTTTCAGGCTACGCTTTCAAAGCATGAAGGTGGCCACCATGTTTTGCAATGTGTCTTGGTGGCTATCTTGAAGGCTGTGGAATGTGAGGTAATATTGATATTCCAGCTGGGGGGAAATAAATCTTCAGGAAGTTCTCCTGTGCTCTGTAGGCAGGGTCTTATTTTGTATCAGCACAGCTTTTCAGGTGAATATGCATTACTTTTGAAAGCATTTCATTCCATGACTATAATTCCTGTTATTGGTTTTAGAAATAAATTCAACTTCTACTGTAACATCAGAATCAAGATTTATGCTGGAGAAAAATATGCCTGTAACTTAAGAAAGGAGAAAGAATCAAATAGCATTTAACAATGGGGTAACACAATCTGTGCACATTCAGCCATCGCTCCTTTCCTGGCTTTGGCACAGGGAGTGAACGCTTTTGCTTTGTGTCCAGGCTGCAGGTTTGAGGGAGAGAAAGCAAAACTGCACATACTCTGCAAGGAGGAGCTATAACACAGATTGATCCAGTTCAGAAGAAAGGAAATGTTTTCTTCCAAACCATTACACAAATTTTGGATGAGCATTAAACTGTGTAGTTTCACCCTGAATGCTTTTCAAACAGAATGCTTCTTTCCGGAGTGTGCATATCAATATAAGTAAAACGGCATAAATGTCACGCTCAGTCTGTCCGAGCGGCGTAGTTTTGTTCTCGTGCAATGGGAGCAGGTGGTGGGAGGTTGTTTTGATGGGTTGAGAAGCTCCTCCCCTCCTTCCCCAAGCAGCAGCAATCTCATCTGCGTCAGCAGTAATTGTGTGCCTTGCACTGCTTTTCAGTGAGGGTGAGTGCAAAAGATACATCAATATGAGGTATCAAACTGAGGCGTAGATGTTCCTTTTAAGTGGCTGCTCATTTCCTTGAGCCATAATATGGGCTAAAGGTTAATTTACACAATCTCCGTGGAAGAACAATTTCTCTTTTTTTGGGAAGGGAGAAGGAGGGGGAAAGGGCGTTGTTTCATATTCTTTCCCACCTATAGACTCCATGTGATGTACAGTGCTGCTCATGCAGATTTTTTTTTTCCCCCCACTGGATTATTTGCTAATCAGACTTCAGTGCAGTGGAGATAAGAGCGAGACTGTTGCCTAGCTCCCGAGCCCGGAGCCAGGACCGCCGCCGCTGCCGCTCCGCCGTCCCGCCTCTCCATGGGCCCGGCGCGGCGGAGCTGTCCGAGGTGCTAGGATGATGCTGGCTGCGCGGGGGGTCAGGGCAGCCGGATTGCAGCAGGAGAGGAGCCCCACAGTCCTGCTGGCACCCGAAGGTAGGCTTGCTCTTTGTTTGAGAATTCCTGATTAATCAACAACAGCACCAACAGAGCCAGGCAGCCGGTGAGAGCAAGCCTGCCTGTAGTCACGGGGGAGAGAGAGACGATGCCACAAGCCAGACTGCTTCAGACCTTCTGTATTTGAGTGGCAATGAGCGAGCGAGCGTCTTTCCTTGCTGCAAGAAGCCATTTGGATAGGATATTTGCTCTTCCTTATATTCCTTTTTTTTGTCTCCACAGAACATATTCAAATGAGGCACCTTAGAAATCTCTGTGTTAGTGCATATGATGGTGCTGTAATCGTCTGTGTTGTAAAGTGGGTAAAAATCATCCAGTTTCTTCTCTGCTGGACCTCAAAGCAGGGTGTTGTTTATACCCTCCCATTATCCATACCCTCTCTTCTCTGAATGTGGATTTAAAGAAGCAAGCACTTGTCTTTTCTTTCCACTGCGTTGTTTTTTTTTTCAAAGCCAAACTTTCCATGCCATTTTAATCATATGTTAAGAAGATCTGTAACATAACACATTGACTTGTAGTGATGTTGAATTCTACAATCTGGGCAATTCTGCCAGCAAGATTTAATGCACTTTAACTGAAGAAAAAACTGAGCCTAACTGAAAATCTGTTTCTTATGGTGCTGAAATATCCCTTCCGACTGCACTGAGGTAACCACAGGAAAGGGCTTTTACAGGCAAAAGTCACCTTTGATTATTGCACTTAGTGGTCCCCGTGGACTTAGATTTTGGTACGTACATATTTTAATACATTCTATGAGCATGCTAATGAAATATGGTGCTAATTAGAGTGAAAAAATAATATTACAAAGTGAAATAATGAAGAGTCAGAATGCATAATGAGGTTGCATGTATTTTTAGACTGTGTTAATCAAACCATTACTAAACTAAAGGCTGAAGTCTATTTGACTGGTTTTGTGTGCTTCACGTGTTGATTGTGCTTGTAATAGAGATGTTTTGTAGCTGAATTTTTTTTTGTTTGTAAAAAGCCCTGTTAAATAATTAAAACCATTCTTTTATATTTTCTGATTAATTAATTGAAATAATTTCCAACATCTATGATAGTTACTTATCAGACCCGCTGTGCCATTAATATTTTACAGCATATGAACATGATTCTGGTGGTAGTGAAATCTCCATTTCGTTTTCTTAAAGAGGAGGAAAAAATAAGTCCATCAGCAAGAAGCTCGTGATTTCTTCTGAGTTCATATGCACTCCTGTTTGCACACAGAATGTGCATGTATATGTCTGTGTGTTGTGTGATTTTATTCCTTCTTGTTGTTTATAAGTCTTCTACAGCATATTGGGAAGTAAAATGTCATAATTGCACTTAAATGCTGGCCATTCTGAACCTAGGTTTGTAATTGTCCAATATCCATGTGGTTAGAAGGATGCCTTGTTTTCCTCAGGGGATAAAAGTAATAAAAGTGTTGCTGTATTGCAAAGTAAACAACAGCTTTTTACATCCTGGAGTCATAGAGGAGTCATTGTAAGCAAAGACCTTTTTCCTTTTCAAGAGGCACCTGCAAGGGAGCCAAAATTCAAGGCTCTGGGTAATTTTTTTGGTTCTTAAAACACAGCTCTTCCATAGGAGGAATAGGACATCTATAGAAATGGACTATTTCTTTAAATCCATGCAGTAGCATTTGCAGTCTACTGAAGGAGACTCTTTCAACCTCTTGAAGTGAAGGGCTCAGCACTACTTAGCTTCAGTGATTTTTGCCCAGGTGCTAGAGCTCGTGCTGTGCAGTGTAATGAGGACCAGGTTTATAATCTGTCCCAATCAAAATATAAAACGTATTTTGTACTTCTGAATAATGGTAGTGGTTCTTTGGTTCTTTTTTTAAAATATATGCATATATAGTTGTCAAATGATACACAATAGGAAACTTGCAGCCAGTTACAGAAGGTCTTTCCTCTTTGACATTAGAATTTAATGCGTCACTGTGTGTGAAAACAGTAAAGCCATCTCATTGTTAGGAATGAGCAGGAGTTGCAACTCTAAGAAGCATGTCTTAGCAATTTGTATCATCACATTCAAGTGCTTGGGTATTTCAAATCTCACTTGATATAAGGCACAGTTATGATAAGAGTTCTGCAAACTAGTCTCTAGTATATTTTTACATCACTAAATTTTTCTTGGTCGCAGTGAAAGTATTTTTTTGTACATCCAATACCATTAGGTCCTTATTAGTGCTGCTGTGGTCAGCAGTTTGTGAAAACTGGATATGGCTGGCCTGTCTACTTTGCTCTTATTTTCTTACAAGCAACTAGAATGCAACAGCTCAAATTTGAGGGTTGATAGGCTGATTAGCATCCTTGATTTGTGCAGAATCCTTCCAATATACTGAATTTAGTGGAGAGAGTTGATAGGTAATGTGAAAGCAGATGTGGTTTCAAAGAGAGGAAGCAGTATTTGGGAGGGAATCAGGCAGGACTGGAGAGGTGTGTAGTAGGTCTTTATAAATTAGATATTGGATTCAGGACTCTGGGCAACCCCCCACTTGTTTTTCCAGGCTCTGTTCTCCTATGTTAAAATTAAAAAAAAAAAAAAATCCCTCTGCTTTGGAAGAAGGCAATCAGTGCCTTTGTCATTACTTCCAAAAGCTCCTTCAGTTTAATGTCAGCATTGCCAATTTTCAACGCAGCACAGCTGCAGCTTATGGCTGTCAAGCAAGCTGAAAAGCAACTGATATTTTGGGGATCCTCATGTGAATAAGAGGGAGAATGGCATGTCTGAATCTTCACATGTGTAGCACTACTTGGATACTGTGATATTGGGTCAATTACTCCTCATATTCTGAAATCAATATTTTTGCACACTGATCATATGAAAAGGAGGAGCTTTGTGGTTTGACTGAGAATGCTGTATATTTGGCATCAGAGCAAATAGTTAAATTAGAAGTAGGGTATGCAACAGTCTTGTGAAACACAATGTATTATGCTCCCATAGAAACTGTGTCTGAATCAATACAATGATCTTGAATTTAGTTATGTAAATATTTCTAAGCAAACCAGGAAGGGGACTGCTTGCCCTTGCCAGTAAACCAGATGCACTGGCAGGAAAGGAAAAAAAATAATCTTTCTTGCTTTACTCCTCCCATGCTGACAGCTGAAAGCATGAGCCAGGGCAGTGTGAGCTGCTCTGTGCTCCTTTGCCAGTGTCCCTCTGATTGTGGGGTACCTGGAGGGGCAGGTGTCAGTGAGTATGAAGGGGTGTGATTGTGTTTTTTCTCTCAGAGAGGTTTTACATCATGTTAGTTTGACCTTTAAGAAGCGAAGTGAACACAATTGAGAACTCCTTCTTTGTCTCCATGTGCTCAGGTGAATTTTCAAAGATGTTCATGTTCAGTGAACACTCAGAACCAAGTTCCTCCAAACAATTTTTATTGACTTTTTAGTATGTTGACTTCCAACAGCTGAATTCCAGTGCTTTTCCTCTGCCCTGCTGTCTCCTTTTGTTCCTTCACAGTGAGGAGGAGAAAAAGAAAGGAGTGTCTAAACAATTTTTCAAATGGTGCAACTCCCAGTTAGAATTTTCCAGGGCTACTTGATTTCAGAAAACAAAATGCACTGAAAGCAATCTGATTGCAAATATTTAGGTGACTCTGTGTGGCACTTGTCACTGACTAACAAAATCCCTGACCACAGTGTACATGTTAGGGGCACCAGAATGGTGGTGCCTCACCTACAGCTTACATTACTTATTTAACAACTTGCATTTGCATAGTTTTAATCAAATATAAATGTACTCCAACACAACACTTGCCTGTACTTGTATCTGCCCTGGCAGATGGTTAGGAATTGCTCACTGCCTGAGTTTACCAGTCAGCAGAACCTTTGATCAAAGGTTGATCAGTGCTGTCTGCCATTTTCCAAGGAGGGGGACAGCAGGCACTGAATGGGACTCCATGGGCCACATGTATTGGTTGCAGCCTATTGCAGTTGTTATGCACATTTATTAGGGTAACATGGTATCTCTGCAGTGGCATTAATACCTGTAAATAAAATTAGTCCTAGTGTGCCTTGCAAGGAATACTAATACTATAAAAATGTTTACAGTAATTAGTTAAGCTTTTTGCACCAGCTGTTTGCATTTTTAATCCCTGTTTAAGTATAGTATGCATAACTGAAACTGTTAGTAAATGCAGTGAAGCTGTAAATACCATGCATGCAGGAGGTACAGGGAGTTTGATCCAGAAAATGCTTGCTGCTTGCACAGTGGCTTTTTGGAGTTGGTGCCATACGTGCAGGTTTAAGGTTCTGAAATATGTGTCTTCCCCAACTACCTCCAGGAAGTACCCCAAACTGAATAGAGGACAAAGAATATATCTTGGTCTATCTGTTAAACAGTGTGTAAGTTTTGTCATTCTGCATGAATTTAGTAATAGAAAACATCAGCAATAAACTAGCACATAAAGAATCTCATCAGCATATGCAGCAGAATAAAAGCTTTTTATTTCAGTCTTTTTGCAACTGGAATGACTTTATCCTCCTGTTCAAAAAATAAACATCATAATAAAAGGAGATTCAGTATATCCTAAGTGGCAGCTCATTTTTGACTCACAAAGTGAAAGGAAAACAATGAGGGAAAAATATGCAGTATTGTTGTCACAAAAGAGAATGTGAAGCAGATGAAGTTCTATGTCTTGGGGAAAAATGAATCAGAACTACATTTATTTAAAGCCTGTTGAAGTTATCTTCAGTATAAAATTTTCTACTATATTTCAGGAGTAAAATCTGGTCACTGGAGAAATCAATGGCAATACTGCCATTGAGTTTACTAGGATGAGGTTTCTCTGTTGTGCAGGTTTATTTCAATTTAATTGAACATATGCAGAAACAAGGCTTTATTAGAAATCCAAAATGGAAAAACCAGTATAATAGCCATCTACTGGGGGGAAATGGCCTGGACTTGAACCATCAAAGAGCAGATATCATTTAAGGAGTTCAGAGACAGTGGAGTTAGAGCTGTCTATGCTGTTAGCATTGGCTTTAATCAGGTAGGTGTCATGCTGTAGAGACACACTCCCAGGAAGAGGCTTTGGTAACTGGACTTACTTTTTTTAATAAGCAAGGTTGGGAATTGGTCTAAAATAATGTCTGCTGAAGCACCAGTAACATTGGTAGAATCTGTTTAGCTCATTATCAGCTTTCCAATTTACTCCTTTGCAAATAGTGTGCCACTTAATGGTGAATGTCTGTTCCAACCCAGTGGAGTTCTAGTCTGTTCCAATGTCAAAGCTCTGTAAAATGCCATGCATGCACGTTGGGCTGCACTAAGACCTCCTTCACTGGTTTTACCCTGCAGGGATTAGTAGGAGATGCTTATACCCATGCCTGAAAATGTTTAAAGATCATTTCAGTGACCCTGAACATCAGCCTTATGCTCATATTCAGGTTTAGTTGATAGAAAAGGTTGTCTGGGAGGCAGAAGAGGTAATAGGAGCAGACTCTTTGCATTCTCTGAATCTTCATCATTTTAACAGTCATGTCATCATTGTATAGAAATAATTTTGATATACAGACATGGGGAACAAGAGAAAATTATTGGTGTGCTTTTAAGGTATTAACTGCCTGAAACCAGATGCTTGTTGCCATTGTCACTTCAAGTAATCAAAAATGGGGGAAAAACATTCAAGGGTGGAAAAATATTTCTCTGTTCTCTATTTTTTTCATCCCTTGCATTCTCATGGTCAGGGCTGTGCCTGATAGCCCAGAGTGGATTGCTGGAATCCTGAAGAGCATTTTATTTATTTATTTATTTATTTATTTATTTAGAAGCAACACCTATTCAGATCAGAATTTTACTTGTTCAGCTATTGATAAAGATTAGAAATATGACATTATATAAGGAAATGAGGGAAAGATTTTTGTCGCTGGTTACACAGGAACCCTGTCCCTAAAAATCTGTGTGCAGACTGGATTCTCATTGCCTATTCAATAAGATCACTTCTAGTTGTAGTGCTGGCAGGGTTCTCAGGCTGATTCCGAGAAGTCACACAATCCTTCTTAGGGGAAGGGAGGAATGCTCCAGGAGTGAATAAGCAAACGTGCCTTAGGGAGCTGAGTTCAGCTGCCAGGTCTGCCCATGGGTCGCTCAGTCCCTCCTGCAGCGACTCCCTGGTTGTAAAATGAGGACCCCACACAATACAACTCAAGGTTGTCATGTCTCTGGACCTTACAGTACTCAGTGTTTAAAATAAGATGGCAAAACTCTTATTTTTTAAATAAAGTTCTATTTTACTTATCTAGTAAGTAGTTAATCCAATGCATAGACTTTAGAGAGAGACTGCATATCTCTTGAAATTCTACCTTGCCTTTAGTCTCCTGTAGTATTTGCTGATGTGTCAATACACCAGAGTTCTTGCAACTCACAGGATGTCTGTTGATGAGTGGAAAACCTTTGGGGCCTTTCTGAGAGCTTTTAGGCTGCCTGCCATGGAGCCAGGAGTGACCTAGGGATCTAAGTGTGTCTGCTCCATGCTGCTTAGCTGGAGGTGCTGTGAACCCAAGTGCCTCTCATACCTGTGGAAGAAGTATAGAAGTCTGGAGAATTTCAGGGCTTGCGAGTTCTGAAGGACCCAGCTCAGCTGGGATGTCTTGTCCATTCTTGAGCCTCAAGCTAACAAGCTGTTGGGCAGCAGATGACAAGGGTTTATGGGCTCATATCTACATTACTAAGAAATACAGGAAACTATTTCACAATATTTCTTTCTAGATTTTGTACCCGATGAAAATTTTTTTGAAGAAAAGTTTTTTGTTTCAAAAAATTGAACAATATTTTTCACCTGAACTTTGGAATATCCTGAAGAATAGGAATTTTGTTTGGTAATCTGCTCTGGTGCAACCTTATCTAAACTGCAAAAAGGACCTATTGTCCTGTGATGAAAGCCTTCTCAATCTAATTAAAACTGAGATTGGGGGATGTCAGTGTCAATGCAACTGGTGGGTATTATAAAAAGGGAGAGGATGGGAGGAAACTTTTTTGGGATTTACAGTGTGTAATTGGATGGATCTGCACGGCCTGGAAGAAGAGACTCTTAGTTTTGTCTCCTCTTATCTCGAGTAACGCTCTGTGTTCTGAATTGCTTTGTTTATTATCCTTTAAACAGGAGAAAGTCTGAAAAAATGTCTCTTATGAAGATGTTAATTACAACTGACACAATCTCGCTGTCATAAACCATAAGCTATTTTCCTACTGATTAAGGTATTATGTGTTTTTCAACCTGCAGGAAACGTTGCTTTCCTTTGTTCATTATCTCCTGCAAGATGATGAGTTCTAATCAGGAGGAGGTCACTTTGGGCGCTTTTCTCCAGTATATTGAAGATATGGGGATGAAGGCCTATGATGGCTTGGTTATACAGAATGCATCAGACATTGCTCGAGAGAATGATCGCATGAGGAATGAAACAAACCTGGCTTACTTGAAAGAAAAGAGTGAAAAACGTCGAAAACAAGAAGAAGCAATAAAACGGTAAATATTTTGATAAAAAGATGAGTGGTCTGGCAGAGTGAATGAAAAGTGAGGGGCTCAGTCTCAGATATGGGAAATATGCGTAGATTTCTAAGCAGCCTGCTGGTAAAAGCAGTGCAGACCACTGGCCCATGTCAGGCTTCTAATTGCACGTGTTTTACGTTGTATAGACATGATGGTGAATGGTTCTTCCTCCCTCAATGGAAGAGAATATTCCCATCTAAATATATTCAGTTTGAGCTTGTGTGGCATCTTGAACAGGTGTGATTTGTAACAAAAAGTTTGGGTCTCTGGAATAAGAGATGCAGATCTAGTGAAAAATAGGTTCTCAACCTCTCAGTGATTTTAGATGGACAGTTTGTACTTTGTGCAAAGGTATATTTGTGTGTGAGCAAGACAGGGAGAGCCTCACAGGTCACAATAAACTCTCCTTGAGCTGATGTTTTAAATCTGGTAAATTTTCAAAGCTTTCTAATAAGTATCTGACGTTTTGCAAAAAAAAATCTATTATTTGCGATTTCCTTTCCATTCTGCGAGCTCTGAAGTCAGTAACAATCTTGAAATCATTTAAAGGAAAATGGATCAAGCCCCTGATGGGCAGTACCCAATAATGGCTCTTCTTGAACAGTTCCATTGATTTTAATTGACAGTTAATGAGAGGAGCACTTGCCTGACCTGGCCTCTTGTGCCAATGGATATCAATGAAATCTCTGCAGCCTCTTGGAGAGAAGAAGAAGGTTGAATGGAATATATATAAATATTTATTACATACACATTTGCATTATTAAAAAAATGGGGTTTCTTGAGGTGAGGTTAAAATTGTGTAATACAGGTAAATCATCCATCCAAATGCTATACTTTTATGTGCAAATGGATGGCTTGAGCACGAACTGATAGATCCTTTGAATTTTTTCCCCCAGCATGAGTCTTCTGTATTTCAGTTTAAGTGATTAAATTTTGTGCTTTGTCTTGGGTACTGTACATCCAGGTATAACAGACATGCTGTGCTGTGAACATTCAAGCAACGCCTCAATAGTCTGATTATTTTGATGGAACATTAAAAAGAAAAGAGCAGCACATACAGTTGACAGAGGAGGGAGATAAAGGAATGTAAAGCAAAAATATGGCTGCTTTATGTTCCAGGAAGTGGAGCTTTTTGGATTGTCAGCAATTGGAGTGATAAGAATAGCGTAAAATTAAGGTGAATACAGCTAATTAGGCTGTACTCTGGCTAACCTGTTTGCATGTACTTTTGTATGTGTGACCATAAAGGCCACTAAGTACCAGAACAGGGTTTTTTTTGAAGAAGTTTTTTGGGACATGAGAGAGTAAATTGTAGACTGACCTGGTTCTTTGTAGTCCTCTAGCCAAGCTTCTCTACCTAACTTGAATGGTGGTAACAGTATTTCCTACATTGTGGTTTGTTTGTGTGGTTTTGTTTATTGATCCTGGCAAAGTGATTTGATGAAGAGCTCTGGACAAATACAGATTATTTAGGGCTGAGCCAAACCATGAAATTCTTGCTCATGCTAAACTGATATCACTGAGGACAGAGTTCTGATCCTCAGTTACAGAGCTGAAGACAGAAGGATTAGGACCAGCAAGGTAGTGGGTTTATTAGAGGAACAACATGTATCTGCATGTGCATTGGAGGCATCAACATTTCCTGAATATTGGGCTCTTCTGTGGGAAACTGTGTTTGCAGTGGTCCCCTCTGATCCCTCTTCACCTGTCTTATCTCAGTAACATTGAGGGGGTAAACAATATCTGTCTGAGGAAAAAAAGTAGGAAAAACACCTCAGGAAATCTTGAAAAACATTCTCTTCAAGTATTTTTCTCTGTCTTTTTCTTATGGTAACTCGTAGAGGTAAAAAAAAAAGATACTTGTGACTGTTGATTAGAAAGACTGAAAGTAATGGCAGACCAAGGGAGAACATCTGATCTGTCTAAAGGAACCATGATGTCTGAAGTCACTTAGGCTGATTGCAATTGAGTCTGTTCCCTGTAGTAACCTCCAGAGATTCATCCAAGACCATGTTATCTGTTGAAACATAGCAGACAGAAAAGGTAAAGTAGGATTATTGATTTCTTCTTTGTTCTGTTCTATATTCCTTGTCTTTACCTTATCTTGATGGATATTTATATTATCCCTAATTCCTGATACCGTGGCCTAGATAGAAAGTGGTGCACATGTGCAGTGATAACAGTGCTACCAGTCTGGAGACTACCAACAGCTGCAAAAAATCTCCTTAGCAACAAGGGAGTCATCCCCTGTGATTAACTGCAGGTAGATTTTTGAGCAGGAGCAGGGGTTCCCACAAACACTTTTCTTTGGCATGTGGAGATGAAAATAAAGCAGCTGTAAGTCCTTGAAAATTATCTGATAGTCCAATTATTGAATTGTTTTAGAAGCTAGTTTACCATTTTTGTATTTAGAAGCTATTTTAGTGTTCAGATGGTCTCTCTTAGAAGAAGGCTGGTTGTGTATATTAAAAACATAATAATGAGTAATGTATTAGCTAATAAAGTGGTGGTATTCACACAAAACACTATTTGGAAGCAGCTGTTATTTACCTAAATCATCTCATAACTATGCTGAATGACTTAAGTTTATTGAAATGCATTAGTCTGAGCAGTTTGAAAACAAGATCTGAAAAATGACCTGAAAAAAAAAAAGATGTTTCATTGCAAATTTTGCCTTCCAAAGAATACACTGTGTTGTTTTTCCTCGGTAGCACTGATGTACCTTCAGTGTGACTGCTGTCTCATCATGTGTGGCTATGATAGGTTAATTGTGGGGAAAAATGCATGGATCTGTTTTCAGGAGATAAACACAGTGTATTGGATTGGAAAAAAATCCCAAGCAACTAGTCTTTGTCTGATCTTGCTGGGCTGAGTCAGCTGATCTGATCTGAATTTCTGACCTAATTTTAGTATGGTACTTAGCGATCATGCGGAGAAAATAAGGTTAATGTGCTGATTAGTAGCTGAGAGTAAGCCACAATAAATAAATACATATATCACCTAATGTTTAGACCTTTTTCTTCCATCTTTTATTTGTCTGGTCTCATTACATGGCCATGTCTATTCAGGCAGCTGTGTCCAGACCAAGAGAACGTACGGGCATATTTCCCACAGAGCCTATAAATTGCAAATAAAGTTATGGAGCAGTATCATTTTCACTGGCAATAAAGTTGCAGTACTGTGACATGTACATTTGCCATGATACAATGTCTGCCCTAGGCAGCATTTCTGGGAACAGAAGGTAGATTTGCCTCAGCTAGTTTGGGTGCCAGGAAAAAGGTGAGTATTTGGAGTTTATATAGGGCATCTGTTAGAATGAGCAGTTGCTTTCTGAGTCACCCATAATTGAAATACGTATATTTAGGTACTTTATTATACATTGTTTTGTGTGGATACTTCACCAATGCTTTTCTTAATTGCACAAATGCAAACTCTTGTAAGGAACAAATAACGAACCCTCCTTCTCTGAAGGCTCAGACATGTTGCATTAATAGGTACACTTTTAAGAGATGTATGCTTTTAAAGTTCTGGCTTCCATTTTTTTAGGCATATTTTGAGCTACTGTTTCTGTCAGGGAAGTTTTTGTTTTGATTCGTATCACTGTGAAGATGTGACTGCTCTGGTATAAAACTGGTGGTGTTAGTGGGCATGAATTTCTACCTGCCAAATCCTGGACTTAGTCATCAAAATATTTACTTCTGCTGGTTTCCCTTACTTGTAGCTCATTCCCAGGATGTAAATGGCTCTGTGGAAATCCTTGTTTCTGCTTGTTGAGGGAAGTATCCAGGCAGATGCTGTCAATAGGAGGAGCTTTTAGGAGGACTGTTCTGTGCTAAAGCAAACAGAAATGGGCCAGCCAGCCAGTGGCAGAGTTAAGCTCTTGTAGTAAAGAAGGAATTGTAATGAACAGCTGTCATCCTAACCTCTCCTTTCTTTGGCAAATCAAGTATTGAAGACTAACCCATCAGCAAAAGTAAGATCATATTTTTCTCTTGCCTTTTTTTTTTTTTTTAAAGTCATGGAAGTAGTTGAATTCAGGTATTATCTGTCTGCAGTGTTCTGTAGTTCCTATCCTTAGTTTCCTTCTTGAACAAGATGAAAATTATGTGTCCTTCAGCTAAAAGTTGTGTTATCAAGCGTGGGTGACAGCAAGCAAATATAAAAATATTTCTATGCATGGGATTATTCACTGCCAAAAGCTCTGTTCAGCTGAGAAAATGTGTGTAATCTTAGACTATATGGACATGCTGAAGTGTTTCTACCAGAGTAAAAAATAACCTAAATAAAGTAATTTCATTATGAACTTAATGTTCTTAATAATGTCTTGAAATCAGAACAATACTCTAGGTGAAAGAATTCTTAAAGCACTATATCTTCTTTTTTTCTGAGCGTTTATCTGTAGTTGAAAGTCTGTGTAGTAAATTAAACATTTCTAAGTTTTCAGGAATAAAAATTCAGGCTTGCTAGATTACAATATACTTATAGCCTGACATCAAGAAAAAGGTGAAGGAAGTGCCATAAATATTTTGGATCATGGTGAGAGCCTTGATTGGAATACTGCAAACACATTATTGAGATGTTATATATTACAGGCTTGTAACCTGTTATTGTCTTGGTGTGTTGGTGAAGGGGGTGTTTTCTTTCTGTGTGTTTTTTGTTTGGTCTTTGTTTGTTTTTGTTTTTAATTAAAATCTGAGTTCACTCAGTGAACGTGATTTTTAGATATGAGGTCAGTGGTACGTGCTCCTTTAATCAAAGGGTTTGTGTTATGAGGAAGCTTAACTGGGGCACTGGTTGTTTTCTTTATCTTCCTCCTGGACATGTTGCATGCTCATTTCATCCTAGATTAAGTTATTGCTCTGATACCACCATTACAGTGGAAGTGGCTGATAAAGTGTGATAGAGACTTATTTTACTATGATTTCAAGACCTTTTTCTCATGAAAATATCATAGGGTCTCTTTTGAGGTTGGGTTG